AACCCACGGGCTCAGACAATCCACTCACCTCAGCCTCCCAAAGGCGCGGGATTACAGGCTGAGCCACCAAGCCCGGCTATAAAAAATGTTTTTTAAAAAGGAGTCTTATCGTGTATATACAATAACCATATTATATCATTTATGCGTGGCCCAAGACAATTCCTCTTTACTTGGTGCAGCCCAGGGAGGCCAAAAGGTTGGACACCTCTGATCTTAAAGCTGAAAGTGCACTACACGGTCATTTACTTGCATTTATCTAATTTATGGAACCTGAGTCTTTCTTGATGGTTTCTTCTCTCTCGTCTTTCAACTCCAATCACCAAGTACTGTCTGATCTACTTTCTTTAAAAAAAAGAACCCCACCTATTGCTCTCCATGTCTACTCTTCCTCTGCCCATCTCGAGGCCTTGCTCATCTCGTTTGGACAGCGGCAAGTACCTCCTAACTCAATCTTCTCATTGTCTGTCTCCTGCTTCCTGTGTACTGAGGACCGCCTGTCCTTCTAGCTCCTTCCCCGAGTGCCCGTCCCAGTCCACTGGTCCTGCCCGTGTGTCTCCCCCGCTGTCCTTGCCCCCACTAGGCAGCATCGGCTCCAAGATTCAGCATCCCTGCTCCCACACACGACCCCAGCTCCCCGCTCCTCTGCCGCTCACCTTATCCCATGGGCAACATCACTCGTGTTAAACGGACTCTTTCTACTCCACAGTGAGTGGCCACGTGTCTACGAAAACCCAACAAGTTCACCTAAGTTTCTCTGGACTTTGGAACACAAACTCAAGTGGGCAGGACTGGACAAGTGCACCCCATCCTTCTCCCTCAACTAGTGACTCATCTAAGGCTTTTCAGTGCTCTCACCTCCCAGCACGGGACACCTCCTCCCTAGGGTGAAGACACCTTTTAAACACAGGGAGACAGAACTTTTTCATCACTGTTTGTGATCCTCAGTGTTTTTACATTTATGCTTCCAGTTCTACTTCCGTAGCTGGAGATTTCTTGTTTCTTTCTGGAGTCACTGAGTAATTTCCTCTGTAAACTGTATTCCATTTAAATGTCTACTCGGCAGGATCACATCTATTGTTATTTGTGGCAAAATCTACACAAGAATAAGCTGCAGCAGTCAGAGAAATGAATTTTCTGATTACAGATTCACTTTGTAGGACAGGAACGGTAATTCTTCAGAGCTGCTCAATCTTCCACTGCAAGTTCTGCTGTTAACAAACTCCCTCAACAACCTAAACCTACCCAAACCCTTGGCATCTGTATGTTCCATGGGCATCTTCTACAGTCGTCAAGTTTTCTGCTCAAGGATACGATTTCTTGTATTATTTTTAAAAAACTGATTACAAAATATTAATCTCCAATATTACCCCAATTCTCACTGCATTGAATGAAAAAAGGAACACAGAATCAGAAAAAACAAAGAAAAAGAAAAGTGAGGCTACCTAATAAAGCTAAACTTCTGTGAAAAAGCAAGTTTAGGCTGGGTGCAGTGGCTCATGCCTGTAATCCCAGCACTTTGGGAGGTGGAAGCAAGAGGATTGCCTGAGACTGGGGTTTCAAGATCAGCCTGAGCAACTTGGCGAGACCTCATCTCTACAATAAATCAAAAAATTAGCTACTTGGAAGGTTGAGGTGGAAGAATGGCCTGAGCCCAGCAAGTTGAGGCTGCGGTGGCTGTGGGCATGCCACTGGACTTCAGCCAGGGGGGCAGAGTGAAAGCTCAACTCAAAAAGACAAAAGAAGATGAAAAAAAAAAAGAAAAAGAAAAAGTAGGCCGGGCGCAGTGGCTCAAGTCTGTAATCCCAGCACTTTGGGAGGCCCTCGGGTTCAAGACCAGCCTGGACAACATAGTGAGACCTCACCTCTACAATAAATAAAAAAATCAGCCAGGCATGGTAGCATGCGCCTATAGTTCCAGTTACTTGGAAGGCTGAGGTGGAAGGATCACCGGAGCCCAGCAGGTTGAAGTTGCGGTGGCCGGGAGCGGCCACTGCACTCTAGTCTGAACGACAGAGTGAGACTCCAACTCAAAAAAAAAAAAAAGAAAAAGAAAACTTATAACAAACAATAAAAAGCTTTAAAGTTTTAAATAACGAGAGATTATATTTTAAATGCAGGTATACCTCAGAGATACTGTAATACTGCAGGTTCCATTCCAGAAAACCCCAATAAGGCTAATATTGCAATAAAGTATGTCACACACATTTACTGGTTTCCCAGTACATCTAAAAGTTATGTTTACACTATACTGTAGTCTATAAAGTGTGCAATAGCATTATGTCTAAAAAATGTATATATTGTATCTAATTAAAAAGTACTATCACTAAAACATGCTGGCTGGGTATGGTGGCTCATGCCTGTAATCTCACCAATTTGGGAGGCCAAGGCAGGAAGGAGGACTGCTTGAGGCCAGGAGTTTAAGACCAGCCTGGGCAACTTAGTGAGATCCAGACTCTATTAAAAACAGTAAACGATCATCTGAGCCTGCAGCAAAAGTTGTAATGTTTTTGCTAGTGGAGGGTTTTTTTCTTGAAGCTGACGGCTGCTGACTGATCTGAGGGTTGCTGAAAACTGGGGTGCCTAAGGCAGTTTCTCAAAATGAGACAATCAAGCTAGCTGGATCTATCGATTGACCCTTCCGTAAAAGATTCCCCTGTAGCGTGCAATGCCATTTAACAGCATTTTCCCCACCATACAACTCACTTCAAAACTGGAGTCAATCATCTCAAACTCTGCTGCTGAGGGGGTCATTAACTAAGCTCATGGAATACTCGAGATCCTTTGTTCTCATTCCCACGATGCTCTCCACCTCTTCACCTGGAGTATCTACCACCTCAGGAAATTACAGGTTTTGTGCATCCCTAAGAAGTGACACCTCCTCCGTTCAAGTGTGATCCTGAGCCCACAGCAACTCAGTCACGTCTTGGGGATCCCCTTCTGATTCTAGTTCCCTTGCCATTTCTGCCACACTGCAGGGCTCCCTCCACTCAAGTCTTGAGCCCTCCAAGCCATCCACATGTTCATGTTGACCTCTGACTTCTTCCACAAATCACACATGCTCTTAATGGCATCCTTTCCAGAAGGTCCCAATTTACTTTGGCAAAACCCATCAGGGGAATCACCGTCTGTGGCAACTATAGCCTTCCATGACACCTTTCTTTTTTGAATTTTTTATTTTTTCTGTTTTTTTCTTTCAGTATGAAGTGTATTTCTTAAGTAGTAAGACTTAAGACTAAAAACTGCTCCTTGACCCATGGGCTGCAGAATGGATGCTGTGTCAGCAGGCCTGAAAACACAGCATTCATCTCCTTGCACATCTCTATCAGAGCTCTTGGGTGACCAGGTGCACTGTCAATGAGCAGTACTTTTTCATTTGTATTTTTCTGAGTCAGGGTGTCACTCTGTCACCCTGGCTAGAGTGCAGTGGCACGCTTACAATGATTACAGCTCACGGCAGCTTCAACCTCCTGGGCTCGGGCAATCCTTTCATTGCAGCATCCCGAGAAGCTGGGACTGTAGGATTGAGCCACCACGCCCGGCTACATTTTTTTTTGCAAGGTCTTGCCATGTTGCCCAGGCTGGATTCGAACTCCTAGGCTCAAGTAATCCTTCCATCTCAGCCTCCCAAAGTGCTAGGATTACAAGAATGAGCCACTATGCCTGGTCAGCAATACTTTTTTTGAAAGAAATCTTTCTTCTGAGCACTAGGTTTCAACAGTGGGCTTACCATATTCAGTAAACCATTTTGTGAACAGATGTACCATCAGCCAGGCTTTGTTGTTTGATCGCCGGAGC